ACGTACTGGGAATATGATTTTTCTTCTAAATTACTTTTCCAATTTTTAAAATCAGATTCATTAGAAAATTCCAATGCAGTAACTGAAATCTTGATGCCGTGGTCTTGTTCAAAATGATTTATGAGTGACAATTTTGTAGCACATACAATATTGCACAAACTACATTGGAATGAGTGTACGAGTTTATCAACACTCTCTTCACCTTGATGTGTTTTTTTGTGCTGTATGTAATGATTTAAACCAGAGAAGTTTTTCTGACATATTTCACATGGGTAAACCTTTGACGATGTCAGCTTATTCTCTTCCTCTAAAATCAGGTATTTTCAACAAATTAAATTAAGTTTGGACTACGAACGTACCTGCATGAAATTTTAGTACATGCTGTTTCAAATTTGATTTCATTGTAAATGTTTTGTTACATTTGTTGCAAACAGCTGAACACTTAAACACTTTATTTGGTGCGACTTCATTTAATAAATCTAAATTGAGAAAGACAAATGTGGTAAATAAAATATCACATAGTATATTTATCACACTCATTTTGTCAACTTACCAGGATGGAATTTTTTTACGTGGCATCTTAAATTTGAGTGTTTAGAAAATTTCTTTTGACATACTGAACATTCGTTAGTCATTTTGTAATAGTAACAGTTCGGCTAAAACTTTAGAAAATACAACCGATACACTTAAAGAATGCACACGACACTTGCGTGAATAATCTGAAATATATTCTTACCTTTTCCGGGGTTCGACGGATTCTAGTAATAAAAATTAACAACACAACAATTTATTCAACTCACAAAAAATAACTACAATAATCACTAATTCAAACTATATCTGATAGCTGTCTAAATCTGATTAAATTAAGTTCGGTCTCTCCTGTATTTATATCAGCGCACCGGCTTTCGTCGACCGGCGAATATTCTAGCATTTTCGGGATTTTCATGGCGTAATCGACTATTGCCGTTCGTCCTCGAACTATCGAGATCCCACAAATGCTGTAAGCTGGGTTGCCGCTGAGCGCCAAACATTTGAAGGCCGCAACATAACCCCCAAACATAAATAAACATAATTGCGCATGCGGAAGCCAGGAATTTTCTGCTGTCGCTAGACGCGAGTCCCCAAACCACTGCCGTTCATTCAAATGCCGTGCCTTCAAATTATTAACTGACAAGCTACTACGTCACCACAATGTGTTGGTTGTAGATTTGTACCAGTGACCGAGAAGTAATAAGTATTTATTTGGAAGGTACAGATTTTGGACCGGTGTACAATTTTTATACTCGTAGTGAATAGTGAATCTAAACTTACTTAATTGCTACATTGAAAACACACAATTCAAAAAACTTTCAAATCAATGTACTTACAAAATCACAATCAAGGTCTTTATTGGTTGTGGGGTAGCTAATTTGGCGATGCTTGTCCTCTTCAGCTTGAAGAAACCAGGTCGATATGCTCTCGATGGTTCCCTTCGGTAACTTCTTGTAGTTTCCAGTCGATGTGCTCTCGACTACCTTGGTTCTCACGATTACTTCTTTGGATTTTGGACTTAGCTAAAAGCTAACAAGGTCAGCAATTTTTTCAATCAAAACCACTTTTGGGTAAATTCTTAAAAGAAACGGTTCGAATATTCCCTTTGAGCGACCCAAAAGATCTTGCACGACTGCGCCAATTAAGTTTAACTTTGAAATTATTAAGTTTAAAAAACTCTGTTTTTCCAAGAAATAAAAAAATCGTTTAAGAACTCTTTATTGGTATGACAACGTACAAAAAATACAGTACAGGTACAGTCTAATGTGGTGCCTGACATACTTGATATCCTAGGCGTTACTATTTATGCGCTCTACATGCTTATGATATGTAACTCGCACACATATTTTCAGTATATAAGTTTAACACATTTGTAATCCATATCTTCAGTCAAGTTTAAATGGTTGCCATAAAATTGAACTTTGCCACCTCTTATTCTGGGTTGTTAAGGAATATTAAGGGATCAGCCGGCAAAATACCTCCAAAGGCAAAGCCTTTCTAGTCACTGGCGTTTTTCATGATAAATAGTCTTAGTTGGCCTTTCTAGGGACTGCGGGTCATTTACAGCAAGTACCAGCCTACTAGCGTTTTCTTTCAACGGGTTTTCAGCTCAGGTACTGCTGGCCATCCACACTATGCCTAATTTCAAAGATCGACGAGGAATCGACAAACATGGGTTTTCTTCAACACTATGCGCTACAATAGCAATATTCTCAGATGTTCTTAAGCGACGTACACGATTTCGATTCTTCACATTACTAACTTATCCCAACAGCTCAAATTTTTTCACCAGTTTCACTAGTGGCGGGTGAAAAGGTGCTTTAGAACGACCAAAAAGTGCTTTAGATTTGCGAACTGTGACGGCAAAATTTTCCCCATTTTATATCGAATTTAAACAATTTCAGTGAGTTGAAACGTTTTTCGAACCATTTTTAATAATAGAGTAGTTTTTACGTATGCTAAAACATGACAGCCTCAAAATTGATAGCTGAACAAACAGCAGGCTATTCAAAATGAAACATGTTATTGAAAACCTTTTACAACTGAGGAAGTAAAATGTTTGAAACGGTGTTTCTCGTGAGTAAAATTTAACAGGGATTTAGCATATTGAGTAATTTCTGAAACTCTCTATTTTCAACAATTCTGCATGGATGGTACTCAGCTGCTATCATTTTGAGAAGTTGCATATCTTATGTTTTTTATTTTGAGGGAGCGGCCTGTTTGTGAATGGACTACCATCAATACGTTTCTGCGAATATTCCTTCCCCTTCCTGTTATTAGGGCACTTATTTCGGTTAATGTCCGGTTGGAAGTTGTTGTGTTAGCACTATCCACAGCCACTATGTTACTAGAACTAGGACTATTAGTTTTATTCTTATTTTGTGCTAATGAACCGACGCAAGTGACATCACCATAGCTCTAATTCTCAGGTTCTATGTTGCACTTTATTATGTTATTTCCTCGATTTAAATTAACTGAGTGATGTTTATTTTTAACATGGCGTATTATATTGGCAATTAATACACTTTTTGTGGAAAACCAATACGAGCAAAAATTGCATTTTGTGTTTATAGGTGAGATTCTCTCAAAATGATTCCAAATAAAACCTTTGGTCTTGTTCATATTTTGTTTTTAACCTGCAATATTTTTTCATTTAATACAATTTTAAAGATTTAATAATGATTCAAATATTACCTTTTAGTCTTCCGAAGCATAAAAAATAGCCACAGAGTAAACAATTGTTTCTCCAATAAAAATCACTAAATAATTAGGTAATATTTTATGAGATGCGAACTTTGAATCGATACGATGCAAATGTATATAACATCTGGGATACATAGTGATGGCAAAGGGAATCGGTGCCGGTACCTAATGCGAACTAATACGAATGTTGGCGGCTTCGATCGATTGTATCGATACGAAATGAAAGAATCTCCTAGTACGTATCGCCAAAAAGATTCGAATCGCATACCTCTAAAAGCCAGTTTTAAGATTTACGGTCTACGAGTCATAAGTCATAGTTAAGGTTCGGTTACAACTAAGATCTATTGTTTGTAATTGATTGTATGTATTGAAAATAAATTCAAATAATCCCGAAAGCATTGTTAACACGGTCTGACAAACATGCTTACTAAATTCAAATTACAAATGAAAATCGGTTGAAAACAGCTTATTACAATTATAACTGATAACTACATACATTTGATAACAACAGGTTAGCTGACAGGTGATCCACTGGCGAAATTCCATTTTGAACCGCAACATCGTAACATTCCTAATAAATGCAAAAGTCGTTTAATATTTATACTGATAGAAGACTGACGTATGTCACGAAGATCACCCGAGGCAGCTATAATATACACTTTATGTAAGAAAGTAGACATCGAATTATAGAAAACTTATCTGAAAACTATTTGTTGCATAAAACCTTAAACATACTAGCAATTGCGTAATGGGTGATATTGGTAGTCACGATTATCCGCTTTCAATAATCGTTCGTTTAGCAAAAGTAATATCACCGCACATATCTAGCATAGCATTACACCATATAATGAATTTATTTTTATTGATACTTTTGAAATTTTTATTAACTGTTTTTAGAGTAAATAAATCCTTACTTTGAAAAACAGTTACGTCACCAATTGTATGGAAAAATATTTACAAGGATGTAACGTGTGGACGGGTTTCCTCAAAACCAGGACTATCGCTGGTCGCGGAGCGCGGTAGTGACGGGGCCGGCGTGCCGCGTTTGCGCGCTTTGTTTGGAGTGGTGAGAGTTGTCTGAGTCCAAGAGTAAAGTAATAATTTCGTTGTCGCTAGCGTGGGCGGATTCTTCACCAGTATTGTGGTCTAGGGCGCCCTTCAATTCCGTTCCATGGTGGCGACGTAAATTTTCCCCAAAAAAAAGTCCCAACGGTGAAAAAAAATTCTGCCCGAGGGACACGCCGAAATAAATATCAAAATCGAATGTTAAATGAACGGGCAAGCAACAATCAGACAGGCTGAAAACAAATTTTTTTAAAGTTTAGGTATTGCCGACGGACATTAATCATTAACCGACAAAGGCTTAAAGCCTAAAATTTTGTATCCAGAGATTCCAGACAAAATGGCCGTTTTTTTCTTAAAATGTTCGAGCAAGCAAGGTAGTTAAAAACCCGCGAAAATGGGGGAATATAGTGCTACAATAAGAAAAATCTTACATCATCAACCCTAAAGGGGGGCTTACGACTACTCGTATCTAGGAGGTCTTCCGCCTATAATGAGGAAATTAGGCAAGAATATATGGAATATTTTACACTATCAGAACGGATCTTGTGGCAGCAAGATAAGTAATACACTTATTCAAATTTATTAATGCAAAAAATGTGTGTGTCTAACATACAAATTAATGTAAATACAGATTTATCATAATTTTTAGAGTTTAGTATATTTTGCTTACCTCATCAGTGTTTTGCGTTTCTCTGGGTTGAAATTTATTCATTAAAAATTATAGGCTTTTAAGAGCAAACCAAGTAGAATGATAAACGTCATTAGCTCCAGTACCAGTCCTTCTTGTTGCCTTTCTTTTCTAAATGTTGCATGAAGCGAGTTAACCTTTTTTACTTCAGTGGCATCACAATTAATCTGCAGCAATTTTATTCCAGACGTCTGTTTTTTTATTTATTATTCTATATAATTTTGATTTAGGATCCCATAGACATGCTTTGCTTCTATATAACTACTAATTCCAGGGTTTTTTCATTCGTCCATTCCATTCTGTAAGCAAATAAACATGATTTTATTTTATTTTTTATTATTCATTATTAATAAGTATTATTTTTTACCTGTATATTAGTTAGTAATAAAAATATTCATTATTCAACCAATACCGAGATGAACCGCATTCGTTCACTACCCCCAGAAATGTGGGAATGCTGTCCACACTGAGCACGAAGTTTTTTTGATGATTCTCTAATTTACCGACACGCGTCGGAACATGACCGAATGCAAACGAATTCGTTCGCTCGGTTCCGTTCGTCACTTAAATAGACACAAGCTTAAGCGAACTGATGAAGGAATATGTTGGCAGTAATTTAAACAACGGAAATAAGAAATGAAGGTTTATATTGTTGCTATTAAGAAACGTTTTAACAGCGGATTAAATTCTAAAGATGAAAAAAATGAATATATGAAAACGTGACATGACCTTTTTCGATAACATAAAAGTAAGGTTATCAAAAACTACTTGACATCCAAAACACACAGATGACAGACTCTTCTTATAATCCAATGGTGCCACATACAACCAACTTAGAGCGTATTTACCATTGTAACTTTAACACCCGCCCTCAATGGTAAATATGCCTGGCGAAACAGAAATTTTAGTCTAAGATCTAAGCCCTAATTCTAAACAAAACCTCGTAAATCTAACTAAGCTCAAAGGCTTTGTAAAGAAATCAGCCAACTGGTCAACTGTACTTATGTAGATAACAGATATGTTATGTTCTTTAATCTTGTCTCTCACAAAGTGATATCTTATATCTACATGTTTTAACCGTTTGTGAAATTCTGGATTCTTGCATACTTTAATAGTTGACTGGTTGTCTTCATAAATACTTATACTCAACGCTTTTCCAACAATTAAATCATTTAATAAA